GTGTACGTGTATTCGACGAAATAATTTTTACAAGATTGATGGAACTTTAACCTAAAATATTTTTTCGAATAATTTTATTGGACACGCGTTACAAATTAAGGAACGAACAAATTCCAAAGGATAATTCCAAAGGAGTTGAGGATCAGGGATCGACAATCGAAAAACGGAAAAAGGTGAAATTCTAAAGAAATGAGAAATTAAGATATTGAAGAAAATTTTTAAGGTTTAGAGAGACTAGTAGTGTTTGTTGGTGTCTACTCGCAAATCGATATGCGCGAAGACCACGAAACATTGCGGAATTCTGAAGAATTCACAGTGTAGAAGGCTTTGCTTTCTCGCGTCAAAGGACAAAGAGCTTCACTGTTTTGCGTTTCGTTTCTGTCTCTTCTAACTGTTTTCGCGCAACTAACTAGGACAGCGGTTCCACAGTCTCCTCCCAGTTTAAACTCGGATCTTTTCTTCGCGAATGAATTGTCCGTTCTTCGTACTTCAAATACTCAAACGTTCCGTATAAAAATTCGACCTTTGAAGAGGTCGAATTTCAATGTTTTGAAACGTTTTTTTGTCATCGACAGAAGGAAGAAACGCACGAATCCTGGTATCTTTCGCCACGAATCAATTCTCGCGAATTAGAATAGAACGAGCAAAAGGTTAACCTTCCTCACCGTGTCATTCACTTTTGTGATTCATTTCACTCCGCCCACTCTCGGTCGGCTCTCGAGGCAAAATTAATCTTTATACCCTTGCCTCTACCCGTGTAGTCGAAACGGTTTCTCTTCCCCTGCTTTCTGGCAATGCTCATTAAACCGTGCCTCCCGTAATTGTTCTTAATTTACCATAAGTGTCTGACAGACACTTGGAGTATGCCATTCATTCTTACGTTGCCTCTCTCGGCCTTCGATCCATTCAGACCGAGTTTTGTAAATCGGGTCGATCGAGAATCTCGATTTTTTTCCCCTTCCAGAACGGACCATATACCGAGTGACTCGAAAAATTTTAATTGCCGCTTATCTTCACGCGAATAATAAATTGTCGGGAAAATCGATAAGTTTATCATAAGCGTATCTTAGATTTGAGAAATGACTCAATATTTAATGCGTTTGGATAAATGGATAACGAAGGGCAAAGTTTTCTTCTACACAACAGGGAAATATGAACGTAGTATTCGTAGCTTCGTTTCATCCTACTATCGATTCGAGGAAAGTGTGTATTTACTCGCGAAAAGGAGGGTATAAGATTAGTTGATGAACGCACCGTTGGCGTAGACGGTTTGTTGAAATTCGAAAGTGCGTTCTACAGATATATCCCGAGGCATCCACGATCCCAGTCTCGCTCGCTCAGAAATCAAAAGGTTGAGCAACGAAAGGAGAAGAAAGCAGTTATCTTCTTTTTCTTCTTCTTCTTCTTCTTCTTCTTTATGGTTATTTACATAGAAACAGTACATAGAAACGGAATTTTTTTTCGTTAAAGGGTATCGATGTCGTCCTAGGTGTTCTCTCTTTCTTGGCTGAAACTGGCAATGTCACCGCTTCCACAGCGAAATGTCGCCGTGAAATAACGATGCCCGTATCCACTTACTGTGGTTTTCCTTGAGTTTTTGCACGACTGTCCGCGCGATATATTAGCCGTGTGCACTTGCTCAGACCGAGATGAACGTTGAAGGATTTTGGACCGAGAACAGAACAACCAATTGCAAACGAGTTTTCGTATTGGAAAGTACTTGAAAAAAATGATATTTTTTTCGATAAGTGCTTTCCAAAAGCACGATGGATCAATATTTGGGTCTAATATTAGAAATAAGCGCGTTATTGGCAAAATTTATTTGATCGTAAAACTTTCTCTCTCTCTCTCTCTCTCTCTCTCTCTCTCTCTCTCTCTCTCTCTCTCTCTCTCTNNATATATATATATATAGAGAGATTTATTTTTTAAAAAAAGTATTCTACCTTGCCAACGTGAATTTGTGAATCGATGAACGTGTTGAAAAATGTGGAAGATTAATTTCGCGAAGGCGTACGAAAGTGCAATTCTTCGATGCCACGAACGCGTGACTAATTCGAGATACGTTCAGAATAATACACTACAGAAGTTATTCCCGGAACAGTAAATAAAGATTGTGCAACAGCGTAACCGCGCATATATTTCGCGTAGAACTAGCGGTGAACCAATTAAACGTAATCGTATATCTATCGTGTAATAGAAATAGCATGGTGAAAGAAAACGATGAATGGAAATGAAAGAAGCAGAAAAACGAATCTCTCTCTCTCTCTCTCTCTCTCTCTCTCTCTCTCTCTCTCTCTCTCTCTCTCTTCCCTTCTCCCTCTCTCCATTCGATTCTTCATTTTCTCGTTTCAATTTTTTACGCACGCGAGAAAGCTTTTCATCTTTTCGTTTAATTTTTTTTTTGAATTGAATTTAAGATAAAAAATTCGCAAAGAAGAAAAACACGGCGATCGAATATCTTGGATATCTTTGGCGATTTTTAGATAGATGTAAGATGATAAGACGCATTAAAACCCCGTTGCTTACTATTTACAACGGAGTAGAAATATCAGTATATTAAAGAAATGAATAAAACATAATCGTGCACATGATTTCATCGCCTCGATCGAGCAAATTGACTTTTATAGGATATCGCCGATTGGAATTGCATAATCGAGAGTATTGAGCGCAAACGAAGCGTGATGATAAGAATTCAGTTCAGATTCTTTTTCTTACCGGAGTCGAGTTGAAAAATTTCTTTATTCTTTTGCCACGATCTCTGATACGGCTCGTTTTTTTTCTTCTTCTTTTTCTTTTTTTTTTTTTTTACAATTACAATTACATAGTATTACAAGTAATTTCGTTTCGATTGTTACCTCGTTTTTTTTTTTTTTTTGATACTTTGGATTGCAAATATATAGTGGAATATTTTAAGTAAATACTTTTGACAAATATTATTATATATATATTAGTTATTATATATATTATACAAATATTAGCTAAGCAAGATTTTTAATATGAGAAGGTTATTGAAATGAGGTAAAAAGTGAAGAAACTTTAAGGCTCGTATGATTGTTAGAAGATTTCACAAAATTGTTGAATATGCGCTAAAATCGGACAGATACAGTTTGAGGAGAGAGAGATTATTGGTTTAGGAACTGTTTGCTAGTCGTTTAGACCGTCCAGTTTGCTTGGACATCATACAACTAAAAAAGATTAAAGATGTTGGTTTAGATCTTCTGTATTAACACCATTTCATCCATTGTTTATCAAAATCGAGCTTCGATTTCAATGCGAATTTATTTTAAGAGCACAGAGCATACCTTCTTCTCTCCAAAAATTATGCGTTTAAAAATATTTAACAATTCGTACAAGTTTCGAAAAATTAAAAATATCTAGATAAATAATATTACGTTATTTTTATATAATAAATGTTACATTCTTTAATTCTTTAATTCTCCAGACAAACGATAATTTATCACGCTCGATTTAATCGTATAAATAATCGTATAAATAATATTATTTTTATATAGTAAATGTTACATGGTTTTAATTCTTTGATTCTCCAGACAAACGATAATTTATCACACGCTCCATTTAATCGTGTTATTTCACCTCACGTGGTTATCGTATATTAAATTGAATGAAAAAAAAATGCAAGAGGTGTTTTTATCGATATCTCTTGAAAGTTTGATATTATATTTATCAGATATACTGCACGATATATCATATTAAGTAAGGCTAATAAAAAGTCTTATCTTCGATCGTTACGTCAGATATATTTTAACGATCGCGAGGAGAGAGGATTTTGAGGAAAGAAACGTTACCAGCTTATTGTCAAGTGCACGTTTATTCTCAGACCTATATCGTGAACAACTCGTTGCTTTACGTATACGTAATGAGAACGTGTGTGGGATTCGTGCGATTACATCATGCGAATGATGTCACACGTGCGAAATATGCGCCAATGGCGTCGCATACGCCATGGCTACAAACGGATGAATATACCGTTCGTCCCGGTTCTTCTCTCGTATCCTTAAATCGTTCCTTCCTCATACCGTGATCCATAATTGAAACAATTTGGCTGGACTATTGTTACGTAGGTATCTCGTCATCGAATGGACACGATATAATAATATAAGCATGGAAATTTTTATTTATTAAAGGAGAATAAAAGAAAGAAAATTAGAATTGGATGGAAAATTATTTGAATTATTGCTATATGGTTATGCAATATGGTAATGTAGACGATTGTGAATCAGGTGAAATTTTTACTATTAAAGGGGAGTAAGAAAACCGTAAAAAAAACATAAGTATATTGATCAGATAATTTTAAAAATAATTATTTATAATTAAAAAAGAAGATACACAGATAAATATAATCCGTAATTGAAACAATTTGGCTGGGCTATTGTTACGTAGGTATCTCGTTATCGATTGGATATAGTAATATAAACGTGGAAATTTTTATTTATTGAAGGGGAATAAGAAAAAGAAAATTAGGAAATCATTTATTCGGATTATTGTTACGTAGATATGATAATGTAGACGATTATTAGTCTGGTTAATTAGTAGGGTGAAATTTTTACTATTAAATGGAAATGAGAAAAATATAAAAAAAAACAAACAAGTATATTGATCAGTAAATTTAAAAAATTATTATTTACTTATAACCGGAAAAGAAGATACACGTGGAATAAATATAATTGAATCAATTTGACTGGATTGTTGTTAGATATCTCGTGAAAACATGATAAGGTAGAGAGTGGATCAGATATTTTTACTATTAAAGGGAAGTAAGAAAAATACGTCGATCTATAGAGAATTTTTAAAAATAACAATCCAGTCCTCTATATAGTTGAAGAAAAGTGGGATCGTGATGGAAAGTGTGTATATGGAACGTATTATCCGCGAATTCTGAAGCGAGATTCGACGTATATTTAAAAAAGTGTATATAATAAAAATTGATTCAGTCGTGTTACCAATTGATACCATCAATGTTTCAATTGTTTCTGTTTCAGGAGCACCCTTTCGAAGGGTAAGATAGAAGTGAGTTGTTGGTCCGATTGACAAAATGACGACCGACATCTCGGTGGTGCGCGGGGGTTGGGACCCCACGCTACAACAAGAGATTGTCGATGAGTACGAATACGACGGGGGAAACTCGAGTTCGAGACTTTTCGAACGTTCACGGATCAAAGCTTTAGCTGGTACGCTCCCCATTTCTGTCTTCTCTTTATTTTTATCCTTTCGAGAGGCTGGCCCGTTCAAGGACGAATTTGCCATTTTCTACCACGTGCACGCGTCGTAATTAGGAAAATAAAATTTTTTGCGCTCGATAATTCTCAGGCGTTCTGACACAGCTGCTCAAGGATATATATATAAAAGTATATATATACTTTTTTGTTTTATATATATATAAGTAGATTTATATATACGATATGCGATTATTGACGAGTAGTCAAGTTAATTATTGATACAGATATCGATATAGAAATTTTTTGTTTGACAAATTCATACATTCAGTTTACATTCATCGTAGAAAATTTTTCGAAGAATATAACCCGAAGTAAATTACTAATCACGGGTATTGTAAAAAATTGTAATGAAAAAAGATCAAAGTATTGAAGATATCGATCGAAGAAGGAGATAGCTCGAGTAGTTTACTTGCTCGAAAACGAATAAAGTGATAAAGTTCGATTTGTTGAAAAAAACAAAGATATCGGATCAAAATAGGATAATATCTCTTTTTTTTTTTTTTTTTTTTTTTTTGATAATCACACGTTTTGAATATGTTGGTTCGATATCGTTTCAGGTGAACGTGAATTGGTACAAAAAAAGACTTTCCAAAAATGGGTCAACTCCCACTTGGTTCGATGCTCTTGCCGAATCGGCGATTTGTACGTCGATCTGCGGGACGGGAAAATGCTCATCAAGCTTCTCGAGATCCTTTCCGGAGAACGGTTGCCACGACCTACAAAAGGGAAAATGCGGATCCACTGTTTGGAAAACGTGGACAAAGCGTTGCAATTCCTCCGCGAGCAACGCGTCCATTTGGAAAACATGGGATCCCACGACATAGTGGACGGAAATCCACGATTATCCCTCGGCCTCATTTGGACCATTATCTTGCGATTCCAGATACAGGATATCACGATCGAGGAGACGGATAATCAAGAAACGAAATCGGCCAAGGACGCGTTGCTTCTCTGGTGCCAGATGAAGACCGCTGGCTACCATAACGTGAACGTAAGGAATTTCACCACGTCCTGGCGCGATGGATTGGCGTTCAACGCGATAATCCACAAACACCGGCCGGATCTGATCCAATTCGAGAAACTGTCGAAATCCAACGCCATATACAATTTAAACAACGCGTTCAACGTTGCCGAGGACAAGCTCGGGCTCACCAAACTTTTGGACGCCGAAGATATCTTCGTCGATCACCCGGACGAAAAATCGATCATCACTTACGTGGTCACGTATTATCATTACTTCTCCAAGATGAAACAGGAGACGGTGCAAGGTAAAAGGATAGGCAAAGTGGTCGGCATTGCAATGGAGAACGATCGTATGATACACGAGTACGAGAGTCTGACCAGTGATCTGTTGCGTTGGATCGAGGGCACTATAGAGGCGTTGGGGGATCGCCGATTTGCCAATTCCTTGGTGGGTGTCCAGTCCCAGCTCTCCCAATTCTCCAACTATCGCACAGTGGAGAAACCCCCCAAGTTCGTCGAGAAGGGGAACCTCGAGGTGTTGTTGTTCACCCTCCAGTCTAAAATGCGGGCGAACAATCAGAAACCGTACACACCCAAGGAGGGAAAGATGATCTCGGACATCAACAAAGCGTGGGAGAGGCTGGAGAAGGCGGAGCACGAGCGCGAGTTGGCGCTGCGCGAGGAATTGATCCGGCAGGAGAAGTTGGAGCAATTGGCGGCGAGGTTCAATCGGAAGGCGAGCATGAGGGAGACCTGGCTGTCCGAGAATCAACGCTTGGTCTCCCAGGATAATTTCGGTTTCGACTTGGCCGCCGTCGAGGCAGCGGCGAAGAAGCACGAGGCCATCGAAACGGACATCTTCGCTTACGAGGAGCGCGTTCAAGCCGTGATGGCCGTCTCCCAGGAATTGGAGGCCGAGAACTACCACGACATCGAACGTATCAACGCTCGCAAGGACAACGTTCTCAGACTGTGGAATTATCTGTTGGAGCTCCTTCGCGCGAGGAGGATGAGACTGGAGCTGTCCCTCCAACTTCAGCAAAACTTCCAAGAGATGTTGTACATCCTCGACAGCATGGAGGAGATAAAGATGCGTCTACTGACCGACGATTACGGGAAACACTTGATGGGCGTGGAGGATCTGTTGCAGAAGCATTCCCTGGTCGAGGCCGATATCAACGTGTTGGGGGAGAGGGTGAAGGCGGTCGTGCAACAGAGCCAGAGATTCTTGGACCACGGAGAGGGTTACAGGCCTTGCGACCCGGCCATCATAGTCGAGCGGGTGCAACAACTCGAGGACGCTTACGCCGAGTTGGTACGATTGGCGGTGGAGCGCAGGGCAAGGTTGGAGGAGTCTCGAAAGTTGTGGCAATTCTACTGGGACATGGCAGACGAGGAGAATTGGATAAAGGAGAAGGAGCAGATCGTTTCGACCGGGGACATTGGCCACGACTTGACCACCATAAACCTTCTGCTGTCGAAGCACAAGGCACTGGAGAACGAGATCCAGTCCCACGAGCCCCAACTGATGTCCGTTGCCGCGGTCGGGGACGAGCTGGTCCGCCAGAAACACTTCGGCTCCGACAGGATTCAGGAAAGGCTCCACGAGATCCTTGGAATGTGGAATCACCTGTTGGACCTGGCGGCTTTCAGGAGGAAGCGTTTGGAGGAGGCCGTGGACTACCACCAATTGTTCGCCGACGCCGACGACATCGACATTTGGATGCTGGACACGTTGCGCCTCGTCTCGTCCGAGGACGTGGGCAGGGACGAGGCCAACGTTCAGTCGTTGCTGAAGAAGCACAAGGACGTGACGGACGAGCTGAAGAACTACGCCGCCACCATCGACCAGCTTCACCAACAGGCGTCGTCCCTCGGCGAGCAGGACGCCAAGTCGCCGGAAGTGTTGGAGAGATTGGCCTCCATAGACTCGAGGTACAAGGAGCTCATGGAGCTCGCCAAGCTTCGAAAACAAAGATTACTGGACGCGTTGTCGTTGTACAAGTTGTTCAGCGAGTCTGACGGCGTTGAGCAGTGGATAGGCGAGAAGAATCGCATGCTCGAGACCATGGTCCCTGCCAAGGACATCGAGGACGTGGAGATAATGAAGCACAGGTACAACGGGTTCGAGAAGGAGATGTACGCGAACGCGTCGCGCGTCGCCGTGGTCAATCAACTGGCCAGGCAGTTGTTGCACGTCGAGCATCCCAACTCGGAGCAAATCGTGGCTCGGCAGAACGAGCTCAACCAGAAGTGGGCCGAGCTACGCGAGAAGGCTGAGAACAAACGGGACGAGTTGAACTCCGCCCACGGTGTGCAGACGTTCCACATAGAGTGTCGGGAGACGGTGTCGTGGATCGAGGACAAGAAGCGTATCCTTCAACAGACGGACAGTTTGGAGATGGACCTGACCGGCGTCATGACCTTGCAGCGAAGATTGAGCGGGATGGAGCGCGACTTGGCGGCGATTCAAGCGAAACTGGACGCGTTGGAGATGGAGGCTCAGAATATCCAGCAACAAAACCTGGAGGATCCTGAGGTGATCAAGGGAAGGATCGATCAGATACACACGATCTGGGAGCAATTGACTCAGATGTTGAAGGAGCGGGACGCGAAATTGGAGGAAGCTGGAGACCTACACAGGTTCCTCAGGGACCTGGACCACTTCCAGGCCTGGTTGACCAAGACTCAGACGGACGTGGCCAGCGAGGACACGCCGACGACGTTGGCCGACGCGGAGAAACTGTTGACCCAACACCAGAACATCAAAGAGGAGATCGACAATTATACCGACGATTACCAGAAAATGATGGAGTACGGGGAGAGGTTGACGAGCGAGGCGGGCGACGGCGACACCCAGTACATGTTCCTAAGGGAGAGGTTGAACGCTCTGAAGATGGGCTGGGAGGAGTTGCATCAGATGTGGGTGAACCGGAAGATATTGCTGTCCAATTCCCTCAACTTGCAGATATTCGATCGCGACGCTCGCCAGGCAGAGGTGCTTTTGTCCCAGCAAGAGCACATTCTCGCCAAGGACGAAACGCCGGCCAACTTCGAGCAGGCCGAGCACATGATCAAGCGGCACGAGGCGTTCATGACCACGATGGACGCGAACGACGAGAAGATCAATTCCGTGGTCCAGTTCGCTGGACGGCTTGTCGACGAGGGACACTTCGCGGCCGACAAAGTCAAGAAGAAGGCGGAGAGCATAAACGAGCGGCGCCGGATAAACCGAGAGAAGGCGAATCATTATATGGAGAAGCTGAAGGATCAGCTGCAATTGCAGATGTTCTTGCAGGATTGCGAGGAGTTGGGCGAATGGGTTCAGGAGAAGCACATCACCGCCCAGGACGAGACGTACAGAAGCGCGAAGACTGTGCACAGCAAGTGGACCAGGCACCAGGCTTTCGAGGCCGAAATCGCCAGCAACAAGGACCGGTTGCAGCAATTGCAACAGGCCGCCGAAGAATTGATCCAACAGAAGCCCGACCTTGCCGAGATTATCAAGCCGAAGGTGGCCGAGTTGGCGGACCAATTCGAGGAGCTCGAGACGACCACCCACGACAAAGGGGAACGCTTGTTCGACGCGAATCGGGAGGTTCTTATTCACCAGACGTGCGACGATATCGACTCGTGGATGAACGAGTTGGAGAAACAGATCGAGAGCACGGATACGGGCTCCGACCTCGCTTCGGTCAACATCCTGATGCAGAAGCAACAGATGATCGAGACGCAGATGGCCGTGAAGGCGAGGCAGGTGACCGAGTTGGACAAACAGGCGGAACATCTGCAGCGCACGGTTCCGGAGGACAAGATGGAAGAGATCAAGTGCAAGAAGGAGAAGGTCGCCCAGAGGTTCGCCCAGTTGAAGGCTCCGTTGATCGACCGCCAACGCCAGTTGGAGAAGAAAAAGGAGGCGTTCCAGTTCAGGCGGGACGTGGAGGACGAGAAGCTGTGGATCGCCGAGAAGATGCCTCAGGCGACCAGCACCGAGTACGGGAACTCCTTGTTCAACGTGCACATGCTGAAGAAGAAGAATCAATCTCTTCGCACCGAGATAGATAATCACGAGCCCAGGATCAACCTGGTTTGCAACAACGGGCAGAAACTCATAGACGAAGGCCACGAGGACAGCCCCGAGTTCCAGAAGTTGATATCCGAGTTGACCGAGAAATGGAAGGAGTTGAAGCATGCCGTGGACGACAGGAACAAGCATCTTCTCCAAAACGAGAAGGCCCAGCAATACTTCTTCGACGCTACGGAGGCGGAATCGTGGATGAGCGAGCAGGAATTGTACATGATGGTCGAGGATCGTGGCAAGGACGAGATATCTGCCCAGAATCTGATGAAGAAGCACGAGTCTTTGGAGCACGCGGTGGAAGATTACGCGGAGACTATTCGCCAATTGGGAGAGACTGCCAGGCAGCTCATTAACGACCAGCATCCGCTTGGCGATCAGATCGCCGTTAAACAATCTCAGGTGGACAAACTGTACGCCGGCCTCAAGGATCTCGCCGGTGAACGCCGGGCAAAGTTGGACGAGGCTCTTCAATTATTCATGCTGAACAGGGAGGTGGACGATCTGGAGCAATGGATCGCTGAAAGGGAACTGGTGGCTGGAAGCCACGAACTGGGCCAAGATTACGATCACGTGACCCTGCTTTGGGAAAGGTTCAAAGAGTTCGCTCGAGATACGGAGGCGATAGGGTCGGAAAGAGTGGCCGCCGTGAACGGAATCGCGGATTCCCTGATAGCGACCGGCCACTCCGACGCCGCCACAATCGCGGAATGGAAGGACGGTTTGAACGAGGTCTGGCAGGATTTGTTGGAATTGATCGAGACACGCACGCAGATGTTGCAAGCCAGCCGAGAGTTGCACAAGTTCTTCCACGATTGCAAAGACGTGCTTGGAAGAATATTGGAGAAGCAGAACGCGATGTCCGACGAGTTGGGCCGCGATGCCGGCTCCGTTTCCGCCCTTCAACGGAAACACGCTAATTTCATGCAGGATTTGTCCACGTTGCAAAGCCAAGTGACTCAGATTCAAGAGGAGTCTGCCAAGTTGCAGGCAAGCTACGCAGGGGATAAGGCTAGGGAGATAACGAATCGCGAGGGAGAGGTGGTTGCTGCTTGGAACAACCTTCAGTCGTTGTGCGATGCCAGGAGAACCAAGTTGGAGGATACCGGTGATTTGTTCCGGTTCTTCAACATGGTCAGAACACTTATGATTTGGATGGATGACGTGGTCCGTCAAATGAACACCTCGGAGAAGCCTCGAGATGTTGCCGGAGTGGAGTTGCTTATGAACAATCATCAGAGTTTGAAAGCTGAGATAGACGCCAGGGAGGATAACTTGATGGCGTGTATCAATCTTGGAAAAGATTTGTTGGCTAGAAATCATTATGCAAGCAGCCAGATCAAGGAGAAATTGGCAGCTCTAACGGATCATAGGAACGCCTTGTTGCACAGATGGGAGGAACGCTGGGAGAATTTACAACTGAGTAAATACATTGATATTTATTTCATTGAAAATAGATAAAGGTTAACCTCGTTATTACATCATCGTTTCCGTGTTATTACAGTTTTGGAGGTGTATCAATTTGCAAGAGACGCGGCTGTTGCTGAAGCGTGGTTGATCGCCCAAGAACCCTACCTTATGAGCCAAGAACTTGGCGTAAGTGTTTGGAATAATTTTTTGATATAATTGTTTAAATAATATTACTAAATATGTAATTATATCATAGCACACGATCGATGAAGTGGAGAATCTGATTAAGAAACACGAAGCGTTCGAAAAGTCGGCAGCCGCACAGGAAGAAAGGTTTAGTGCCTTGCATCGACTCACTACGGTCAGCGTTTTTTCCTCTTGCAAGTATTTATTCGTAAAATCATCGTATTCGATGAAAATTTGTGTATGTTGCAGTTCGAGTTGAAGGAAATGAAGAGGAGGGAACAAGAACGAGAAGAGGAGGAAAGACGCAAGAAAGAGGAGGCCGCAGCTGCCGAGGCAGCCCGATTAGCTAAAGCAACACCTGTAACTAGTCCAGATGAACCACCTAGCGAGAGGTACTTTTTAACCTTCAATATATTTTTTTATTTATTTAAAAGTAAAAGTAGCTAATAAGAACAGCTATTAGTAATGGAATTATAATAGAATGCATAGAATGATTTTGAGATATAATTGAGTTTAAAATTAAAATGCAACCAAATTGGATTTAAATATATAAATAAAAATATATTTTTGTGGAAACAGAGCAGAAGCAGAGGGTGTACCAAGTGGGGAACGTCCAACTGGAGAAGATGAGTCACATGGTAAGATAATAACACGTATGCATAATATTTTGAAAAGCAATTTGATAAGAGTGCCATATAAGTTGCATTTTAATGCATTGAAGAATAACAATAATTTATTCAAAAAACTAATTATGATATCGAATAAAAAAATCAATTTTCTTGAATGTTTTTTTTTCCATGTTTTAAAATGATTTTCTGAGAAAAAAAATTTCAAAACTCAAATGGGCCAAACCTATATAAAATTAATAGAAATGTTCTTCTTTTTCTTCTTTTTTTTTTTTTTTTTTTTTTTNNNTTTTTTTTTTTTTTTTTTTTTTTTTTTTGTTCCACTAATACAATATTGTATTGTACAAGTTTGCTTTCCACGTATTTTTGTACACTTAACTCTTAGGCGACTGGTTTTACAAACTGGTTTGTTTGGATAAGCATGAAATTGCTAACAGCACGTTTATTTTTGCCTTTCTCTTTTTCCGACCTATTGTCAACATTGTGACTCCGTCCTACTTGAAAATCCGATGTTCCTGATTATTAATCCTTTCCTGAACGCACCTTAAATGCGGCACGGAATGCACAATCCACAGTGGCACCTCGCAAGGCTTCTACACGTACACCACAGCCTCAAGACAAGCCCAAGGAAGGTGAGTGTCCTGATGAAATGAATATCGCCAATTTTGCACTCGATATTTTAAAATGATTATTATTATTAAAAATATTTATTATATTTTTTACATTCAACATCATATAGCGTATTGTTTATGTCATTTAATTATTACGTCATTTATTACATTGTCTGTTAATTTTTTATCACATTCTCTCTCTCTCTCTCTCTCTCTCTCTCTCTCTCTCTCTCTCTCTCTCTCTCTCTCTGCAATTCATTTTTATATCATTTGTCTTTCTCATTGTGGCTAATGAGTGCAAAGGGTTACAAATCTTTTTCAGGATAAAGAGAAATCATTGTATATATATATAATGTATGTACTAATTTTAATTATCATTTCTTAATAGCATCACTTCATTGAATATCAGTGTCTCCTTTGATTATGAAGAGTAATCAAATTTTTTTCAAAATATTGCATAACATTTGTATTCATTCGATTCCGTTTACAATCATTTACTCTTATTTCGCAAACGAGAATCTGATATTTGATGATTGAATTGCATTTTATATATATAGATCCTGCTATATCGATCCTTTAAGCTGGTGATGGAGCAAATTAAAATTAAAATCATCTGGTATCGATTTTACGACATATCGGTTTTCTTTCTTTCCATCGTGGAAATATTTAATCGAATTGTGTAATAATTACTTGCAACAAGTAATAACGAAAGTTACTTATAAATTATACTTTTCTCAGTAAAAGAGAGAAAAAAGGAATGCCTTCAATTCAATTTTTACACAATTCGAGTTAAATGATAAATTTCTTTATGTCTTTCAGCATAATTCTTAGGCCAATTAGCCAATCTGCCTTTCGCTATAATCGACAAGCTGTGATCATTTACTTGCTTTTATTAACTGTTTTTAGCAGGTGATGGAGACATTTCTACCCGAGACAAAACGAGTATTTATGTAGAAAAATTATTAACGACATTTATTCAAATATGACATGAGGAAAGTTTTAGTTAATATTGCATCTCATTGAAATATTTCACGTTATTTGATTATATTGAATAAATTCTACTCTGATACAATAATGAATACAATAATTTTTCAAAAGAAATAGGTAAATCAATTTCACGAATTGAATCATGTTTTTCGATTTAAATCGTGTGAAAATATTTATTTTTTATTCGAAAGGTAAGCACATCGGTGATCACGAAAAAGTCAATATTTATTTTAATTATTACGATTTTAAATTTCAAAATATGCTTGTGTGTGTGCGTTCCTTGCAAATAACGGATGCTTGTTCATTCGTTTCGACAATTTATTTCGTTTGTATTATTAACTATTGTTATAATTTACGTTCTTTGTCTCATCTTATTACATCCACAAGTATCAACAAGCTTGAAAATCATCATTCATCATATAAATATCCTTTCATTTATTTTTTAACAAATAACGTAAGAAACACAAGATGTTTAGCTTTTGTATCGATATCTCGCTTTCATCGAGTGATCTCTCTTCGCTCTGAATATCCGTTTTCAAAGTATAGCATGGTTAAAATTGGTGTGATGGTGTATAGTGCATGTTCAGAAACCTGCACGTCTATCCACGCGAGGAGAAGCAACACCACCTGCCACCTCTTCGAAATCTCCGCAAGGTCTATCTAGTCCAACAAGTAAGTTCATTTCAAGGAATTAATTAATTTTCTTCATTCATCCTCATTCACGATAAAAGGAAGATCGCGTGTAAAATCGCGTAAAATTAAAAAAATATCAAAAAAAAAAAAAAATCAATCAGATTAATCCAACGATACTCATCATCATTGGCATCATTGAATCTCTAAAAAAAATTTCACCGAAACGATTAATTTCATAATTTTGAAAATTTGAAGCGACAAGATATAAAAGAGAGATATATAAAAGAAGAAGACGGCGCCCTCCCATCCCTGATTATAATTAAAAGAAAATTATAGAGAACGTAGTAGTAAAAAGTTGTATTGCGTCGGAATTATGTGCTAAAATAATGCATCTCGTCGTTTAATTTTTCTCTTGGCCCAGCAGGACAAGTAGTCCCAAATTCGTCCACGAATTTACACGCCTCAACGATCCTTAGCGTCTCGTCGACTGAACGAGCTGTACACATTTCATTGATCATTATATATCGAATCAATTGCCTTTTGTCGATAATGAACAATGCTTTCTGGGATATCCCCTCCTTCGCATCGAGCACCCCGTACAATTTCGATATACTGTGATTCTTGTCGGATAGAATGGGTATATTCATTTCGCCCAGTCCACCCTGTTTCCGCGGTGTGATGGCCCATGCTAAATGTACGTACTCGGAGTCTGTAGAAATAGCAACTACATCGCAACCTGTTTGCAATTTGAAATGAAATTAGATATTTTCTTTTCTTTTTTTTTTTTTAATTTTAATTTAATTCGTATCGAATCGAACGTAATAATAGAAAGTGAGAAATGAGGGGAATGAATTATTATTATTATTATTATTATTATTATTTGAATCGTTACATAAAAGAAGAAATGAAATGGAAAAATAATGTACCCAATTTATTGAACTCCTCGATGCGATCACTGAATTGTATCATTTCCGTGGGACATATAAAGGTGAAATCATATGGATAAAAGAGCATTATTAAGTACTTCTCCTGGTACTGTTTTAGAGATATTTCTTGTAATTTTAATTCGACTACTGCGATGCCTGACCAAGCTGGCGCTACAGTCATCAACGCAGGTATCGTCTGCATCTCCGATATACGCAGCTTTCGCGGTTGATTTTCGTAACAGACATCTGAATCTATCATGCTTTTTAAAATCGGGTCAAAAACTGTCGTCATCTTGGATTACAGGGATAAAAAGATATAGGATAAAAGATCTTGTAAAAGTAAAAGGTTTTTTTTTTACATACAACGCGAATGTTGGCAAATATTATATCCTGGTAACGGAAACAAAAGTTTTGAGAGAGAGGAAACACAGTTACTTTCACACCTTTCGTGAAAACTCTTAATTATCAATTCGTTCTGAATACTTCTGATTTTCGATAGCAAAATGACAAAAAAAAAAAAAGAAATTTTTTTTCAAAAGATCCGACGAGATAGACAAATTGGTAGAATTTCAAGATTCCTTTTTTTCAAAGACCAGCTTTAAAAAAAGAAAAGCTTCGAAGATTGATTCTTTTTTGCCAGAATTTGATCTTGAATCTTAAAAAAGTAGATCTCGCATGGGCATGTTGCATGAGCAGCGAAAAGAATTCCTACGAATTTAACAATATTCTCGCCTTCTACTCTCCTTTCATCATAATTATATATATATATGTGTATAAGATAAAAGTAGGCTCTCGATGTGACGTGTAAGTAGCTAATAACATAATCGCGCGTGTTGCGTGTGTCGTGTTGAAAGCTCCTAAAGGTGGAAGCGGAAGCGAGTCTGGTACTTTAAGACGTAAGGAACGTAGTCGCAGCAAGTCGCCGTTCAGAAGTTTCCGTTGGAGAAAATCCGCCAAGTCGCCGAGTTTAGATCGCAGTGGCGTGAGTGATGATGAACGCAGCATTTCTGGTAAGCGATTCTATTCACACATCGGCCACACATTGGAGCTTCTCTATTTACCATCACTTACGCCTACTCACAATTTTTTAAATATTCATCAATAATAATATTTTCTTAAGTTTAAATTTTAATTAAGGAATTAACATTAGCCAATTATAAATATCATGATTATGAATTTTTATCTAGGTAATTTTATCTAGGATAACAGTGCTGAAAAAAGATGCATCGAAGAAAACATTAAACTTACTTTTTAACTTTAAACTTTACTTTTCAGCTTTACGATCCCACAAGGATCCCAGAAAGCGTTTCCTTTGTTTTCCTGAACGTTGTGTACGTGTGTGTATGCGCGTGCGTATGCGCGTGCGTATGGCGTCCCGAGCACGTGTACGAGGGATGTGTTGAATGGAACGTTAAGAATCTGGGCTATGGAAACTATTAATAATGTATGCATCCCACTAATCACGCGTGATCAGAATCAAGTTTGCGATTGACGATTGTATCTTGAATGCGTGTACACGTTTGGGTGGCTGAATTGCATTTCAGAATCGTTTATAACCTCTAATCTAACGATTAACCGTTTTGCTCCTCCTACTCGAGATGGATTTCTTTCACTGAATGTATAATTATATTTGCAACTGTGTTGTACGTCCGGAAGGAAATTGGATGTTATGTAACGTAGATTATATCTTCCTTTTCTTTAATTCTTCGCGTTATTAGTTGCGAGGTAGCGTAGTCTCATAGATCTTATCAATTCTGTCTGTTTAAATTGGATTCAATTTTACAGAACAACGAAGTCCCACCGACGATGAATTCGAAGGCGTATTGCAACGGAAGCATGAATGGGAGAGTACAACGAAGAAAGCGTCTAATCGATCTTGGCACAAAGTATACATGGTTGTACGTGGACAAAGCTTGTTTGTATATACGGACCAAAAATCGTACAAGGCAGCGCCTGATCAACCGTACAAGGGAGAATCTCCTCTGGATCTTAGAGGAGCGACTATTACCGTGGCGAGTGATTATACTAAGAAGAAACACGTCTTCCGAGTAAAGTGAGTTCTATCTTGTATTCTTGATCACAAACGGTTAGACAAATTTATATTTTTGATCTATTTATATCTATAGTTTCTTAAGGAGTTGAGTTCAGAAAAAATCATTATATTATCTTATATGATTTTATAAAAAAAGAAAAAGATGAAAATATAAAATTTCATATAATTTTTTAGGTCACAAAGCGGATCAGATTTCCTATTTCAGGCTAAAGATGATTCTGAAATGAACGAATGGGTTACCGTGTTGAATCAAGCGGCACAAGGTACATCAGGCGCGGGCACATCCAGGGCGCACACTTTGCCCGCGCCCACGCAAGCCGAAACTAAACGACGTAGTTTCTTCACTCTCAAGAAAAAGTGAGTCTCTCGTTAGAAGTATGTGAAACGTTCGGAAAAAAAAAAAAAAAAAAAAAAGGGTAACCGCGTGCGATGACGTGACGTCGACATATCACGTAAAAAAGACAAAGTTCATGGAATTCGATACGAAACGAAGATTTATTTAGTCGAGAAAGCTTTTTGCCCGTTCAATCCTCTCTTCTTTGCTTTTAATCATCGTTTCATTTTAAATTAATTTACATCAATTTCATAAAAAAAAAAAAAATTCTTTCATATTGTTTCTTTCGTGCTGATGATTTTTTTTTAAATCACTTTCATTTATCTATTTATTACGAGTGCTGTGACAATTGTTAACGTGAATTGTTGTAAGCATTGTTAATTGCTCGTAATGGATATTACAAGGTGTGTATGTTAAACCATGGACTTTCTAACATTTTTTTCCTTTTTCTTGCATTAATCATCCAATAATCTAATTTTTCGTTAGCATTTCGCCATCGAGTACGTTTGAGAGTAAAGTAAAACGAAGACCTGATTAAATACGTGTTCGAAGCTGTAGGTATTTTAATATATATTTTGTTTCTTTTTCTCGATATCATTGTTCATCGTTATATATATGAGTAAGCAGGATCACCTCGGACCGATGAAATTATTGTATGATTGTGATTTGAAAGATTCGAGGTTTTCCCATGTCATTTCCATCTCACGATATACGTTTAACGCTGGCAGACATTTTTCCATTTCATTCGATCACATTTGCATATTTTATCATATTTTAGAAAAGCCAAAAAGTAGAAAGTGTGAAACCAATGAACTGTAAGAAAACAGTACACAATTGGAACAACATTTAGAGAGATTGCGGTGAGTCGCATAAACAATCATTAGATCATTTTTTTACCGTCGTACTATTGCACGATTTTCATTGATCATCGTTTAACCAGTTGTATTTCTCTCTCTCTCTCTCCTTCTGTTACACTTTTTGATTTAATTTTTTTTTTTTTTTTTTTTTTTTTTTTCATTTATTAGTACATCTCGAGAGGTACAAGAGGAATGTTCTTCCAATTGTGAATGCGGAATGATATATATTTATAAGTTCTCTATAAAGATGAGAACTACATACAGTGCTTAACTGTGTTTCATATGCACGCCTATATAAGGTTCCTTTCATTCAAGTCGCTAATTACAGTTACGTCTCGTTATCCGTTATGTATATTTTTTTGAAAATCTTTCCTATAACAATCATTAATTATCAGAAATAGATGTGATAATAATTTCTGAAGTAAAATTAAAAAACTTTTAATGAATTTAATAAAAAAAAATTGTTAATTGTTCACTTTACTTTCTATGGATTTTTAATGTTAAAAAAATAATATTTTAAATTAAATTTAACGAAAGAATATATATGATTGAATATTAAAAAAAAATTTTGATGTGTTATTAACGAATTCAGAAATTATTGCATTTGAAGATTGTAGAATTTTATGAATTATATTATTTAATAGAGTCAAAGAATATTGAAATATTTGAAAGTATAAATGTATATGGATCAAAGAAAACTAAGAGAAAGATTAAAAGCAAAGTGAAAAAAAAATATCGCATTCCACCAAGAAACGATTTCACTGTTCACAAAGTGAAACATTAGAATTGCGGATCAACGAAATGCGATGGATGATTATTATTCCTAAACGACAGCTGTACTTTAGCGACAAAACATTTCAAGACTTCAAAACCGAATATATTTGGCTTATTCTAGAAAGTATTCAAGAAGAGAAGAGAATATGAAACACAATCATTTTAATCGTGTCACCAAACCAAAGCTCAGTTCACAAGGTGCTTCTTATTCGCATTTTTCATTGCTTTTTCATGAAACGTTTCTTTCGTTCGCTCTAGTATCATGTAATGTTATTATTATCTATGCGTAGACACACATGATTTATCTGTATATCATTGTTGGATTATATTGTGGCCATCCTTTTGTCATTGCTTCATTATATCATCATATTATATCATTTGTTCACGCTTTTTTGCTGATCGGAAAAAAACTTTCAGAGAACATCATCATCTTGGTTTTGAGTAAGATATAACACTGTTGTGGAGGTAAATTTTGGCTCTTCACGCGATATTTAGACGCGTGCAACTAAAAGACAGAGCTGGTTCATGCATTAACTTACTTTAATTGTCCACATTTATGTGTGTAGCATCCGTATTTGCTCGTGTCATTGAGCGATAGTATAGCATTCATTTAGCAGCATCAGAAGATATTTTTAAAACGTAGTACTATTGTCTTCATATACAATACATGGTGGTCTATTTTAACTTATCCATTTTATTATTTTTAAAAAATATATATAATGAAAGGATTGTATGATTTAAATTGAATTAAATTTCAAAATGGACTAGAGATCAAATAATTTAAAAAAAATGGAAAGGTCAAAAATCGACTACACTGTGTTTATGGATATTCAACACTCATTCTTGCCCAATATTATGAATATTAAATTTTAAAGAGGCTAGAGCGCTTTTATTTTATTTTGTACACTTTAGAATTTATAGAAAATTGTATTTTAAATATGTTTGTTAAAGAATACACGTACATTTTTGATTAAATTTTTCTATTTTAAATGTAAGATTTGATTTCAACGTACACATATAATTTTTATTAAATTTTTTCAGAAATGATGAATATTATTATTAACTATGTCGTAAAATATAAAAAAGATAAATAAGAATAATTTAGCTCTACGCCTCATTTATAAAAAATTACCTGTTACGTATAAAACTGTAACAGAAAACACGAACACATGCCTTCTACGCACGGTGCGTTAACACTTTTTTAATTTAACGTTTGCTTTGTTTGCCAATTTTCAGCTAAACTGGAGCAGTGAAGTTCGGTATAAGCCGCTCAGCACAACACACACAGTTTAAAAGAAATGTTTCGTCGCTCTACGTGGTTAACAAATAAAAAAAAAAAAAAAAAAAGCAACGCTGATTATTAAAATTAGGAGACATACACGCGGACATGGTGTTTGAAAAAAAATTAAAAAAAAAAAAATGAATCGAAGGACAATTCAACTTGCTATTATAACATTCGTGTCGTTTTATGAAATACGCCTATCATCTTCGAATATTATTCGCCAGAAAGAAAAAAAAAAAAAAAATTAATAGAAAATATTTCAGCAGCTGTCTGTATGTGTTTTCACGCGCGTGTAGGCCATTTAAAGTCTCTAATTGCGTTTTTTTAATTTTTTCAAAAAATTTTCGAACACACTTTGCAATATATCGCTAGTTGAGAAAATGACACACACATACATACATACACACATTCGATAATGTCCCACGTTAGCGTGATCGAGTTACTCGAATATGGATATTGATCGTCAAAATTAATTCTCTACTTTTTTGGCATATTTGCATGGCAACGCAATAATGATAACACAATACAAGATAGATCCTGTAATTTAATATGGTATTTTATATTGTTTTTTTTTAATGTCATTAAGACGATCATTTGTCTTTGTAATTTTATTATTAATGTCATGTTGCTGCAAAAGTTTTCTAGATATTTGAAAGTCAAATAAGAATTCAATCTTAAATTCATGCTGTTCAAAATAAAGAGAAATTACATATTGAAACAAAATATAATAAGTCAAATATGAAAACTCGACAAATGATCTGTCATTTGAAATAATATGTATTTGTTAGTACTTCTTTCTACAATTTTCTACAAGCCATATATTTTATCTTTTTTAATATTTTTTAAATATTTCAATGTTGAAATAATGCTTTAAAAACTCAAGAAATAATGCCTTAGAATATATTTATATTCTTGTTTTAATTGCAAGAGGATGTTGAAATAATTGAAAAGTAAATTTTTTAATCTTTTTATATTATATTAGATAAAAGTTTAGATAAAAATAAAATTACTTACAAGTTATAGAATTATAATGTTTTTATTTTAGAAAGAACTTTTATCAGAGCTTATGCAGTGATTTGATATGTGTTGTTGCTCGTCTTAAGAAGGAAAGAAGCGTTGTATAATTTATAATTTTTGCCTTTGTTTTATCTATTGTAAACAGCTCAATTGCGCGATGCACGTTCATTTGCAACGACTGTACGTACACACAACTTCTCGCCCTGCACGTTTATTTTAATTTCATATTTCTCCGCAAACGATTCGTTTGCGTTTCGATAACTGCCATATATATATTTTTAAGCGGCACACTAACTTGGGACATAATATATATATAAATATATAAATATATAAATATTATATATAAATATAAATAAAAATTAGCTTTAAAAAAATTGTTAAATATATGCTATGCCGCAAGGGATACGCATTGGAGGATTATAAAAAAAAAAAAAAAAAAAAACGAATGGAACACACATTGTGTAATAATTTAAAGAATTTCCTCTTATATGATCCTAAAAATATCATGATTCTACGGAATTAAAAAAAGAAAGAAAAAGAGATATTTAATTGTTCTTTATAGACATTTCTGCGTGTGTGATACAGTTTTTATTGAGCGAGTTTTTAATAATTAGAGAAGTCCAGAAACTTAGAATGATATTAAGATTCTGTTTGCAAGTATCTCGCTTGATATTAACTGATATCCTATTCATATTACAATCACGCGATTGTCACACGATATTCTTATGCTTTATTTTTCATTCTTTTTGTCTTTTTTTTTTTTTTTTTTTTTTTTTGATATTTTTAAATATTTATCATGTTAATTTTTTTTTCTGTTTCGTACAAAGAGTATAAGAATGATTTAATATTCAGACTTATATTCGCGATCATTTTATTTCAATAACGATTATTTAAGAATTAATTATTTTTATTTTAATATCATCTAATTACAATGCGACTCATTTCAATTGACGTCGACTTGTTCCATTACTCTTGGAATGCACTTTATTCTAACGCGATAATATATTTCTCGCAATAAGACCTCTGAGTAGCACATGAGGATACGTTTGTAAAACGTCTCATCTTTTTTACTATATTATACTGTGCGCTTCATACTAATTTGTACATACAATCATTATCAATGCAGTGTACGCCTAGACAAGAAGATGAAAAGCCATAATTAACGAACTTAATCAAAAGAAAGAAATGAAATCGACAACAAGTTCGCTTTTTTCTAGTTTAATGCATGTGCATTTAGTGGATATTTTTTAAACTATTCGGAGTCGCATTGCTACACTACACACAACTTAATATTTCATAGCTATGTGTTTTATATATAAATATAAATATGATTATATATATATATAAATACGAGATAATGAAGGACGATAAATTATAAGAAATAAAAATGTTTATGATAGAAAATATATGATAATTGTAAAACTATATGATGATTATATTTATAAAAATATCCTTTGAATATTTCCATTTCCTCATATAAGCATTATCATAATTTTATATTATTCATAGGTAGGTAATTATCAATATATTTTTGTTTAATTAGATTAAAAATTATAAAAGTTTATTATTTTTAAGAGGATAAATTTTTAACAAATTTTTATACATAATAAAATTATTTATCATCGTAATTTAATCATTTTTAGTCGCATATTCTATTTGAATATTCATATCGTGAATAGAGGAAGACCTTGATGATGCCTTCAGGAAATGATGGTCATTATCTAATATAGTTTTATTATTACATCTGAAAGTGACCATTAAAAGTACTTACTCCCCTAGCAATGGCTTTCAATTTTATTACGAACATTTTTGTCCAATAACTATGTTTTGTAATTGTATCACGATTTATATTTTAATATTATTATTTCTTAATTATTAATTTTCACACAATATCACAATTTTTTCTTTCATTTATGATTTTATTTGTAATTAATATTATAGATCGATTTAATATATAAAAAAAAAATAGATATATTTATTAAAATATTATTATTTTAGTGTTGTTTTAAACAATATGTTAATAATATTTTTAATATTTTTTTAAAATTAATTCTGATTAATTCTAACACAATTTAAATTTAATCGTATTCCAAAAATAGTTCGTAATCGCTACAAGATGTCATTACGTGTCCAATGATTGTCCATGATTTTTCTTATGGCAATTTTCATTTATGAAGACAGAAATTAGAATATTTAGAATATGAATAAAATATGATGAAAGAACATCAGTTTAACTTTTTTTTTTATCAAAAGTTTTAGTTGTAATTAATATTTATCATTATTCTTTAAATTTACTTTACATAAAGTCCGATTTACAATGAATTGCGCATGCGCATTGATCTGTATTAAATTGGATATATAGTTGCTTGACTTGAGAATATTCTATATAAAATGTCTACATATACATATATCTTTAGTTATATATATGTATATATATGTACATAATGATTAAAGAAAGTTAGTCTGAGCAAGATGGCCGGTCGGACGACTTCGGTCTTATATTACTCTGCACTTTTGTTGCATTTAATATTATTAACGAGTTTCAATAACGGGCAGAGATTTGGTCTCAAAGCAAAAACTCTTCATATTACGGAAGATTACAATTCTTATGGTTATAGACAGCCGCTTGTCATTAATCGAGACGAATATTCGGATGTCAGCGAAACGTCAGCTAGTCGAACGCGCAGGGATATTCCTTCACAGATCTCAAATAATGATCCAAATATCACGACAAAGGTATGCAATTATCATTTTCTGTTTTATTACCATTCTGATATTTTTGATCCTATTCGGAACGATAATTCTATCGATTCATTTGCCGCATAAAGTAGTACATTGTTTTTGTTCTCTTATCACTGCGTACTTGTTATTCACCGATAGGAGAGATTTTAGAATTTTACGCGGCAGATAATAAGGGCGGTATATACAACGCTGTCTTTGTGCGGCAGAGAGCGGAGAACGTAATTGCCGTATTATGTCCCTTCCGGACTAAATTTAATCAATCTTGACGAAACGGAGTAACGCGTCATAGTCGTTCTGTTATTGACATACAGAGGTCAGTAACCGCTCTATTCGTCTTCTTTATTTCGGCTTAAGCGTTCATTGATTGTTAAATATTTTTTGATCATGAAATCTTTCGTTCACTTTATAACATATACAAAAAAAATTACAAATGATTATTTTTAAATTCAATAAGTATAAGTTACACAGCGAAAAATATTGTAACATTCATGCGTATTAAGTTTTCAAACTTGTTTTTTTCGAAAACAATAAACTTTGGACAAAAAATTTTATTTTACATTTTTTCTAATCATAATTATTTAATAATCAGTTTATATCTCTATTGTATGCATTATTTAATTCTAATCGCAATGTCAAATAAGGTATCAATACATTCATGTAAAAGTGTTAAACAAACATTGATTATATTTAATAATTAGATAACATTTAATGCGATCATAATTCATAAATAAAGTCGAAATTATTGTTATTATAATGTTATTATAATGATTGATCATTATATTATTTATCTTATCTTTTTCGATATTATTAGATTAAATTGATAGGAAGAATATTTTCAATATTTTCTTATAATTATATTTGATTATATTATATTATATAATTATATTCTTATAATTATATTATAGTTAAATTTAAATATTAAATTTTTATTTGAAATATTTCAAAGAAAACATAAAAGGAAATAAATGAGGAAAAAATGCAATATTATTTTTTTCGAAGCACAGATTAATACTATTTATAGAAATGTTCTCTGATGATACAACAATACGTGACAATTACTCATAGGTAAGCATATATATATATATATATATGTGTGTGTGTATGTGTGTGTGTCATGCTAGTAATGTAATTATATCTAATGTAAAATACATATCTAAAATAAATATATATATATTTATATGAATGACAACAAAGGAATATTATGTGATATAACGACCAACCAAGTTAAGTCGTTAAAATATGTTATATTCGTAAACAGAGATTAAGATATTCGTCATTTGTAATGGTATTTAAAATACGTGTATTTTTTTAAAAATAATTATAAT